TTATAAACTATTTTAATTTTATAAAATAAAACTATACAATAAATAAAATACAAACAAAACTGTATTTTATATATTAAATAGTATATGTTTATTTTATTTTAAAATAAAATAGAAATATTGAATAAAATAAAACATTAAATAAAATATAAAATAAAAATATAATATTAAATAAAATACCACAACAGCTCCGCTACATAAGCTTCACCTTTAATACGAAGCCCAAATTTCTGTGACCTGACTCGACCCAAACTATCAAACTTTACAACCTGAAATTGCCCACGCTCTCTTTTGCCTATTTCTTCTTAGAGCAAGCTGATCCAGACGCCCTGAAGCTTAAATTAAAACTCATTACAATAAATCAGATGAACCCACATCCTGCAGCACACGGGAAAAGCCCATGATGCCTTAAAATGCAGTGTTCGTCAGCGAGGCGAGGTTCTGGAGCAGAATCTTCTGCTCACCGAGGCTGCATTTATTTGATCAAAAGCACAGTAAAAATTGTGAAATATTATAACAATCTAAAACAGCTGTTTTCTATGAGAATATATAGTAAAATGTAATTTATTCCTGTGATGCGCAGCTGTATTTTCAGCATCATTACTCCAGTCTTCAGTGTCACATGATCTTCAGAAATCATTCTAATATGCTGATTTGCTGCTCGAGAAACATTTCTGATTATTAGCAATGTTGAACACAGTTGTGCTGCACAATATTTTTGTGGAAACTGTGATACATTTTATTTTTCAGGAAAAAAGATTGATGAAAAAAAAAATTCCCATTAATTTCAGTAAAAAAAACAAACTGCATTTTATATTAAAGTTCAACTTAAACCATAAAAACATTTTTGTTACATAAAATATTAACTGAAATTAAATAAAATATAAAAATGGACTTAAATTGATTTTAATTTAGCAACTTCTAATTTTAATTTAATTTAACTTCATGTAATAAAATAACTAAAGCTAAAACTGAAATAAAAATGAATTAAAACTATATAGACATATTAAAAAAAGACTAATTAAAATGACAAACCACACAACAAAATTACTAAAATTATAACAAAATTTAAAACGAAAAGGGACATAATAATATTTGAGTGAGTTTTGAATTTTTGCATTCATTTCAGCTCAAAAACCCTTTATCTTACATTAAACTAAAACCATAAAAAACATTGTCACTACTTGAAATAAAATAAACGTTAACTGAAAAGAAACAAAATATTTAAAAAAATATTTTATTTAAGCAACATTTCTCATTTTCATTTAGTTTAACTTGATTCACTAAACTAAAGCTAAAACGAAATAAAAATTTATAAAAACTATATAGACATTTTAGAAGAAAAAAACTACTTAAAATGACAAAGTAAACAAAATGACAAAACTGTAACTTAAATTAAATAAAAAAGGACAAAAAAACAATGAAAGAGTGAATTCAGATTTTTTTTGCATTCATTTCAGCACAAAAAAAACTGCATTTTATATTATAGTTAAATTTTTGTGAAATAAAAAACACCAAAAAAAAAAAACTAAATTATATATATATATATATATTTATTTATTTTTATTTTTTTTTACATTTCAACATGTCTCATTTTCATTCTCAACTTGATGTACTAAAATAACTAAAGCTAAAACTGCATCTTATATTCTCACACAATCCAGTTTAACAGTCAAGTAGACTCTATAGTGCTCCCTAGACGTCTGTGCTGAACCTCGGGACATACAATCATTATTAAATCTCTCAGAGACACATTAGCTGCAGATGTTTGCTGGCATTGTTAGAGAACTCAATAAAGATTTGTCTGCGATAGACGCAGATATGATGGCATGGAGTTCAGACTGAGATCCTGTGCTGATGCTCTCGTGGCTAGAGTCTGATTTCCCCAAAGCCCTGATCGTGATGGTGATGATGGACTGATTTCATCTCAAGCGTCCGAATCTACAGCCCTCTAGAGCCGTCTGTGTCTGCAGAAAAACACTAAACCACTGAATCACGGCAAAACACTAAAGCAGTCCGCAGAAAAACACACGGCAAACTGAGACCAAAGCTGCGAAGCAGAAGTGTGAAATCTGACAGACGGAGCGTTCTGACTCGTGTGTGTGTGTGTG